GTTAGGCTTTTATAACAATATACATTGCCTTAAAATGTTTGCATGTCCAACTGATTAAATATTTACTGTAACTGAAATCAAACCATGTCAGAAAATATCTCTGTAGTTGAAACAGAGAAACCATACAATTTTTCCTACAAGTTTAGCCAGTGAAACCAGCAATTTGGTAATTTCCAAACACAATTTGGAGATTAAAATATTTATAAGGAATTATCTAGGCCTTGTCTCAGGTTCCAATATTTGGAGAGTCAGTGTTAGGTTCCAGTAAGCGTTGTAAGTACAAAGAATTCTTTTTGTTACATTCATGCTATCTCTATCAAAATCTTGATTGTATCATATAAACAGTGTATGATGTATAGCTTTTTGATCTGTGTTGTAAGGGTACCTAAATTATGAACTATTATTCTATGCTCATGTAATTTTGAACCATTTTCACTTTATTATATTTTTATGTATGTTAATTTTTCCACATTACTCTGTACATGCATTATTAACTTATATTTTTCCTTTTTGCCTACCCCAGATTAGGTGGGTAGCCAGCAAACTTGTCACCCCCAAATTGCCAATGTCAGAGTATCTGCCTATGTCACACCATTGCTCAACTGTGAAGCAAAAAGCCTGGGTAACGTATATACGCCAGATGAAACTAAGACAAGTGCCGAAAGTGCGAAATCCCCCAAGTGTGCCTAGAGATGTGTGGACATCAATCTTGAAAAGTGTTACGAAGGACTAACTGGAAATGGATTGGACCTTAAAAGTCGGCAAAGAATTTCTGGACTTATTCTGTGCATCAAAAGTGTTAAATTCTGGGAAATATTCTATTGAAGTCTTGATTTGGCCTGTAATTTGAGAGAACAAATTCATTTAATGATACAGTAAATGTTTTCATTCTGATAATGAATATATTTAAGTAACTTTTCACCATACAAAAAAAAAGAAAGATTGTTAAATATAAACAAGTCTTATACAAGTAGGGGGTGTGTAAGATACTGCACATGTTCAAGTGCTTTTAATTTGTCAGACCTTAGAATTTCAGATACATCCTTGGATGGCATACAGAAGTTTGTTACAAGGGTATATGGAAAGCAGAAATCAAAACATTGGTAACACAGTAGTAAGATTAGTCGGCAATGAAAAGACAAGAGTGCTTAATTGAGATAAAGAACAATTAATACTTGGTTCGCAACGGCAAAATGTGGTGACAACTTGGTGTAAATCATGATCTCTTTGTTTGGACTTGCATGTTTAATTACCTTTTGTTTTCTAGTTATTTTTGGGATTCCATCGTTTGGTTTTAACAAAACATGCACAGGTAAGCATATCTTTTCTATTTTACTTGAAATGATGACTTGGAATGACTTGGTCACACTATTCATCAGTTATGTTTCTTTGGTGATATCTGGAAAATTAACATACAAAAAAAAAAGATTTAGTGAAATTGGTTCAAAATTTTGATTTTTGAAAACTTTCTTTAATGTTTTTTGCTGAGGCAATTCCTTTATACTGTTAAATTTCATTAAAAATACTTTTTTAAAAATGTATCGAAAGTAAGTTTTGATTTCTATAGAAGTATTCTAATGCTGATTTTTGTCTTGAAGCATTTACATCAAAGAAAGCTTTCACTCTTTTGTCAATCATGTTCTTAATCTTGATCAGATTTCAGGATTCAGACAAGTTGTTAGGAATAAAGTCATGTTTTTTGTACTTTTTATATTTTCAGGAATTACATGAATGATAGTTTCCGAACAGACGTTTTTGTTCGCTACAATCCGGAGACAATTGCTTGTGCATGTATATGGTTAGCTGCTAGGCAACTTCAGGTTAGTAAATTTGCATTTGTAACTTAAGGTTAACTGTTTAGGAAAGAATGAAGCTTAGTTTTTAATGAACTTTGTAAATAACTAAGCTGAAAGAATATTCGTATAATACTTTACTATGGCAGAATGAATATGAAGAAATTTTTTCAAGATCTTAATTTTTTCAGCCTCTTAAATTAATGCTGAAGTTATTACGTAATTGTATGGTATATATATTTGTAAAATTAATCACTAAAAATTCTATGCTACAGGTACCATTGCCAAACAGTCCACCATGGTATGAGTTGTTTGGTGTGATAGTGGAAGACATACGAGAGATCTGTCTTACAATTCTAAGATTGTATGCCAGGAAAAGGGTATGTGTTCTGTTCAGTAACCAAAAAATTATTTGTACAATGGCCTAATTCTTATTATGAGGTGTAAGTTGTAAAATGTTTAATTACTACTGGCTAGTTAGTTTAAAAATATTTTTTTCAATAATCATATATTTTACATGTTATATGTATATAATTATTACATAAAATTGAAAGGGATTAGAACACAAGAAAACTTATATAGTTCTTCTACCTGCTGGCTAATTAGACTGGCTAGAAGGGTATTTTTCCCTGACCATTTGGTAATGCAGTCAAACAGCATTTTTGGGAGTGTTTGATTGGCAGTAATTAATAGACTGAAAATTAATTATCGCAAGTTAAGTTGCATAAAAATTTGAGAGGTTCTTTGCGGACACCATATAGCTGTCATATAAATTTGTTTTGTTTTTTTCATCGCCAATAAATATAACTTTAATATTATTTTAGCCAAATCCTGATGCATTGGAGAAGAAAGTGAATGCTGTGCGAACATTACAGCTTGAAGCTAAAAAGAAGGCAAAAGGACTTTTCTCAGAACGAGACACACCAAATTCTACCTCAAGGCAGAGTAAGTGTAATGTTACGTTATTGATACAACCATTTTCCATCAAGATTTACAGTACTGGTTGTTTTAAAAAAGATCCTTTGGAGACAATGTGTGGAAAGTATTTTATTGTGCCCCCACTTTAGGGGGGCAATTAGATTTACCCTTATTTCTATTCGGTATGGTCAATTTTAATTATGTATTAAAATTCCAGTCTATGCAAACTTCCATTGCTTAAATATAAATATATCTAACATGTATTAGTGTCTAATTGTCTTATTATTTGTCTTATTTTTGTAATTTTTACAGTGCAAACATGTGTATATATTTTCAGATTCGCCAAAGAATGTCAGTCCTAATCCAACCACTTTAATAGGAGAGCTCAAGAAAAGAATAAAGAAGGAAGCTGAGGAAAAACATGATGGGTAATTGCTCAATATTGTCTCCATAAGCTTAGTTAGCTTTGCTACCAGTATAGAGCCAGACAAGCATGCACATCTGTGCTGTGTTACCAGGCTTTATAATGTTTGTAGCTGGGTTTCTGTATTTTGATATTGAAATCCTTTATTGTTCAAGTAGATGGCTCCAAATTCAATGAAGGGGGCATACAATACATAAATTAAGTAGATTTGGGTGTATAATGTGTTAATAAATTTCAAATATTACATTTTATCTTTGTTAACATTAAATAACAGATATTTGTTGGCTTAAGAAGAATATGTTCTATTTAAATTGTTAAAGGTATTGAAGCTGCAGCCTTCCAGTCAAAGTGTCAAACTCCTATTTCAGGAATCATGGTCTCCAGCTTGTCCATGTTTCTACATGCTGTATCTTTATAAAGTTAATGCTGAACCATGACTGCAAATGATCATTTAATAGTTTTAAGTGGATTAAAACAATAATAATAATATGCTCTTATTATACACAGGGGCTATATTAACATTATTGTGTTATTTTTACTAGTATTTTCATTGTCAATTATCAACTTTTTACTTGTTTTAGCGATGGATCTAAGAGAAGAAAAAATGGTGTTTCCAGAAGCCGGTCTAGAAGTAGATCAAGGTATTTTGATGTTAAAAATTTTGAATATCTAACCAAATACTTTTAGCTGGACTATTTTAAGTTTATTGGTTGAGATTTTGATTGCAACTTTGCAACTATTTTACTGAATATGTAAAGATTACTGAAAATAATTCACTTGAAACTTTACTCACTATCAAAGACCTGTAACTGTCAACTAATAGTGTGACTACTCCTGGTCTAAAGTTTTTTATGCAAGTACCGTTCCTTCAATCATACAATCAGTAAAAATCACCAAAGGTATTTGTGTGAAATTTTAAACTGATATATTTATATTAAAAAGTGGTCATTGTCACTAAATAGATATAAACAAAACTTGTAAAAAACTTACTGTCTTTGCTTTTCGGTCCGAATTTGGAAGAAACATTTATTTTTTTGTATGTGAGAAAATTATCGTAATGTTTAAAAGGTAAATTTGACAAATGGCCACTCTTACTATAAATCGTAAGTGCAGTGTATTAGATTAACAGTTCAGATTATGATTTCATATTTAATTTAAAACTAAATTGAAAAATTATAAGAAATTGCTACATGATCTTAATCAAATAAGTAAGAAAAATTCACTATGTTATCTACGTTTTAAGGTCATCAAGATCAAGTAGAAGTTACAGCCCAGCACAAAAGAAACGAAAGCGAAGGAGTCTCACACCAAGAAAATCTAAAAAAGAGAAGTACTCGCCAGATAGAAGGAGCGGCAAGGATCTTCACAAGTCTCGCAAGCGAAAACATCGATCTCGTAGCCGGAGTTATTCATACAGTCCATCCCCTGATTATAAATCTAGTCACAAGAAAAGATCGAAAGATAAAGATCGCGATTATAAAGACAACAGAGATTATAAAGAAAATAAAGACAGATATTATTCTCCAGATCGACATTCTCGGAAACATCGGAACGGTCACCACTCGAGTCCGTCTCGAGACCGCAGTGATAAGTATGATAAATATGACAAGTACGATAAGGTCCTGTATCGAAGATGATGTTAGTTACATTCTAGTGTCTTAAAAACATTGTGATATGTGCCAGTGTGTGATGGAAAATCTAGTTTTAAGGGTTACTGGATATTTGGTCTTTGCACCATACTGTAATGTCCGCAATACAATCAGATATTTGCAAGAAATGAATTGGTATGAGAATAATAAAGATAAGTATTAAAAGTTGAGAAGAAAAAATGTGAAGCTTCTTGAGTATAGAAACTTTCCTATAACTTGTTTTTCTCTGAATAATGTACAGCATTGGAAAAATGATATAAAATTAGATTTCTTTTCTTTCTAATTTTCTTAATTGTTTTGTGGAAGATAAAAAATGTTTGTAGAATGTTATTTGTAAGAAGAAAAGTGCTCTCAGGGTTCATCTTACATCTATGATTATCATTTGAAGTGCAATTATTATCTTTTATTTTGTTTCCATGGTACCAAATTGAAACTATTTCACAGTGTTTTATTTTTTACAGATTTTTGTGTATTATTGTCACTTTTAAGCAGTAGTGACTGAGTGAATCATATACATCTTTGAAAGAAAAGACTTTAAGCTAAGCAGAAGTTTTGTATACAGTAAAAATATTATATTACGTTTTGTTTACATTTAAAAGTGTATTTATGCAAGTTTAAAAAATAGATAATTCAACATATTGAAAGGAAAAATTTTATTCTTATCCAATTGGAATTAAAATAGTTATATCACAGCTATGGCTGGAGATAGAATATTGTGTAAAAGTCAATGCCACAGTTATCTAGTGACTTAATCTTTGGGTGCTGGTAAAGTGACTTTTCCCTGGTCAAATATCTAATATATTGATGGTCAATAACGTCTATACATCACAGCTTATCTTTAAATTGTACTGTTTATTGAATAATCATTTCAAGTCGGGATTTTTCTACCAGTCAAGCAAAATTAATGTGACCGAGAAATTTGAAGAGAAAAAAGAAATGTAGTATCATTTAAAATATAAAGCTTTGATTTCTTCACACTGTTTAAAGTTTTTGAATTTTGAACTACTTAACTTTTTTCATCATGGACTAAAAAATTTTAACCAAGCTTGAAATTTAAAAGCAGTGAATAATTTACGTTTATAAATAAAAGGTGTTGAGTAAAGCAGCTGGAGTTTATATATTTTTTACTTTTATTGTATGAAAAATTAGTTTCTTGGCTGAAATTCAGCCTTTGTAGTTTTCAATTCATGGTAATTTTTTTCTTTTTGTTTATTCAGGGTTTAAATGTTATCTTCAAAACAGCGGATGTGTTGTCTTATTTGAACTGTACATTACATGATTTTAGTTTGTATAAAGTAGATGCCTAGAAGGTTAATTTAAGTATCATGAAACGCATTAAAATGCTGATTTGTTCATATTTCACATATTTTGTACATAGATCTGAGACATGTATATTGTGTACATACAAAATAAAATTTACAAGAAAGAATGAAAAATAATAAAAAAAAAATATGTAATGAAGTTTTGTTTATTTGTTTTGTTTGTTCAAAGTTTTAAAATAATGTGAGTTGTATCTTGCAGTGCTGAAGATATTCTTGTTTACTCTGAGATTGAACATAATATTGTTTAAATGAATCATAACCGGTTAGTATAGAATTACTGGTAAAAGTACTTGATACTGTGGTTCGAGGGGTTAGAGTCGATGACTTCTAATCCAGTTACCTCTCTGGCATGGGTTCGATCCCCAGGAGATGCTTTGGTAGTTTAGCACGGAGGAAGGTAGTCAAGTACTGGTGTAACTCTCCAGGAACGATGGTAAGGAAACTACCCGCCTATATGACTGAAATTGTTGGGGAAAAGGCGTAAAATGAAACAAACTAACCAACTTTATGCATCTTCCCAATTTTTAGCATTGAAAATGTCTGTTCATTGCTACTGCTCACAAACGATACGCAAACAAAATCATATGTTCTCCTGTGTACACCCAGTTTAAAAAAATACTATTATCCCAGCATAACAGTTTTGAGAACCAGTCAGTTAGCACTGATGGTCAGTTTACATAAAACTGAAAGCACCGTTGGTCAGTTCACATAACTGAAAGCATTGTTGGTCAGTTCACATAAAACTGAAAGCACTAGTGGTCAGTAAAACTGAAAGCATGTTGGTCAGTTCACATAACTGAAAGCACTGTTGGTCAGTTCACATAACTGAAAGCACTGTTGGTCATTCACATAAAACTGAAAGCACTGTTGGTCAGTTCACATAAAACTGAAAGCATGTTGGTCAGTTCACATAAAACTAAAAGCACTGTTGGTCAGTTCACATAAAACTGAAAGCGCTGTTGGTCAGTTCACATAAAACTGAAAGCGCTGTTGGTCAGTTCACATAAAACTGAAAGCATTGTTGGTCAGTTCACATAAAACTGAAAGCACTGTTGGTCAGTTCACATAAAACTGAAAGCGCTGTTGGTCAGTTCACATAAAACTGAAAGCGCTGTTGGTCAGTTCACATAAAACTGAAAGCATTGTTGGTCAGTTCACATAAAACTAAAAGCACTGTTGGTCAGTTCACATAAAACTGAAAGCGCTGTTGGTCAGTTCACATAAAACTGAAAGCGCTGTTGGTCAGTTCACATAAAACTGAAAGCGCTGTTGGTCAGTTCACATAAAACTGAAAGCGCTGTTGGTCAGTTCACATAAAACTAAAAGCATTGTTGGTCAGTTCACATAAAACTGAAAGCATTGTTGGTCAGTTCACATAAAACTGAAAGCGCTGTTGGTCAGTTCACATAAAACTGAAAGCATTGTTGGTCAGTTCACATAAAACTGAAAGCACTGTTGGTCAGTTCACATAAAACTTAAAGCACTGTTGGTCAGTTCACATAAAACTGAAAGCGCTGTTGGTCAGTTCACATAAAACTAAAAGCACTGTTGGTCAGTTCACAGAAAACTGAAAGCACTGTTGGTCAGTTCACATAAAACTGAAAGCGCTGTTGGTCAGTTCACATAAAACTGAAAGCGCTGTTGGTCAGTTCACATAAAACTGAAAGCATTGTTGGTCAGTTCACATAAAACTGAAAGCACTGTTGGTCAGTTCACATAAAACTAAAAGCACTGTTGGTCAGTTCACATAAAACTGAAAGCACTGTTGGTCAGTTCACATAAAACTGAAAGCATTGTTGGTCAGTTCACATAAAACTGAAAGCACTGTTGGTCAGTTCACATAAAACTGAAAGTACTGTTGATGATAATTGATCAGTCTTGAAGTTTTTGAGCATCCAACAAGGCAGCTACTATAGTCTGTCCCATCAAATTTGAACATTCCATTTTTTATTTAATATAATAGTAAAATCATTTAAATTAATGTCATGTTAACCCTGACATCAATATCTCTAGGCATGTTTTTCATTTTTTTCATAAAGTCAGTAATATGGTCAAAATGTTAAAATTATATTTTTCCCGTTGAATTACGTTGTAACCTGACGTGACGTCCATTTCAAAATGGCGGCGCCCATATAGACGTCATTTAGGGTTCGTCTCACAATTAGCGTGAAATGTACTCGGTAATTATAAAAAAATATTATTCTTATTTACTTACTGATCAATAGCTAAATGTTATCATTAAAATGAAAAATGACAACAAAGTTGGTGTCAAAAAGGCAATTTTACTAGCAAACCATTATTTAAAATAATCAAAATAATTTGAAGTGAAAATATCAGTAAGCTTTATAAATTCTAACACACAAAGATTTAATTAATTACCATGATATACTGTCGTATTTTATATTTTTTAAGAGAAAAAGAACAATGAAGTGATTTGATTAGATAGCTTTTCAATCAAGCGCGTATCTTGAATACCGCAACGCGTCGTAGGGGAGCGGGAACACTAGCTAGAAGACTAAAAAATGGTTCTTCGCTAAATAATGTTTAATTTACATAATTCTGTAGTTGTCTGAATTCTGTCCATAAGTGTGTATCACGTCTATTCAAAAATAAATAAATTGACCAGGTTCGATGGGATACAAAAATATGTTACCCTTCTTATTTCGGGTGCGATGTCACGAATGCGCTAAAACTTTCCGTAGGTTTCAACTTTCACAAGAAATCGCCAACAAATACTACATTATCATGCAAATCTTTCAAAAAATATAAAGAAAGGAAAACTGATTCACTATACGTTCAGCATTGGTTTGCTTGTTACCACAGTGTCTACTTTAACTAACTCCCTCGCTAACGAGAGAACACAGACTCGCGGTCGAGGAAAATGTAAATTATAAGAATATAATATCATGCTTTCTAGTTTAAGCAATGATCATGCTTTCTAGTTTAAGCAATCAAACGTAGGCCTACACAATGTATACACTTTAAGCTCGTAAATACAGAATAAACTTTCCGTCTCACAATTCAACAAAATGTCAAGAAATACCGGCAGTGATTTGATATTATTAAGAGTAAAGTTCAATAAGACTAGTGACAATAAGTGTTTTTTGTAGACTCAAAGTGTTACATATAATTATTTTGTTAATATGAAGGGTAGATCCAGTCAAAGAGAAACACCGAGTGACGTTCTCAATAATTTTAGCCTTCCTAAAATTTGAAAATATTCAGTGAAAAAACAATAGATCTAGCATATTTTTCGCGGGAGAAAAAATACCGCGTATTGTATATTTTGTAGCTAAAAGAGTAGGATTTACAGAAGTCTTGAATAACGAGATAATATGTAGGGAAATTATTCCTGAGAAATATATAAAATAGTTTAAAAACATAAAATCAAAACGAATGTTATATGTAATTATGGAAGAAGTATTGTACTGTTGTAGATTCATGTCATTAAGACTAGTGTGTTTAAAATTATTTTTAGATCTAAATGTTATCAAAAGTTTTATATTATTAATAATTTATATGAATTGAAGGTATACGTTTTACAGTTTCAAAATCTGGGTATACAAGAATTATTTTAAATGCCATCAAGATAAATTTATATCAACGCTTAAAATTATCTTTTTGAGGTTACATATGCCTAACCGCCCTCTGTCAATGCCGCAACTGGAATCATCCATTAAAAGCGCGAGACATTTTTGTTACGTCATATATTTCGTAAATTGTTGTTGACGTAATAAAGTTGTTTTTTTTCGTCAGGAATCCATAAGCATTGTGATGTTGACAACTAAAATTGATGGGCCGTTCTTGAATTATGGATTTGGAACATGCTGAATTATGATGTGTTTCATTTACATATTTCATTTGCTAACCCAGATAACTCCCCAATTGAACAATGTTTTAATAATGAGACGGATTGCCAGTTTAAAAAATCTGGATCATCAAAAGTGTAGGAGTCATGTCATTCAGGATTTTTGAAGTAAAAACTTGGGATCTACGGAACTGGATAGAAACCGGCAATGAAGGAATCTTCAGAATGTGAATTTGTCGTGACGTTTATAAAGTTCATAGGGATTCTATTCAGCTTAAAAGTAAGTGCAATTTCTAGATCTACTCCAAGTGACTCGGTGTTCTTGTTGCTTATTTTTAATTTTTTAAAGTTTTCCATCATGCATTGCAACTAAACTGTTACATCGTGTAGATCCAGCTTTGTAAAATAATCATGAAACGACCCCGAGAACCTCATGTATATTTTAGAAACATGACACGTGCTTTCTCCCGTTCATCTTCAAATGAAGAGTACTTCGGCAATGGCTACGGAAAATAAACAACAGAGATTTACCATAGAGAAATCAAAATTTGCTTTCACAAGAAAAGTAGACACTTTAGAGTAAAATCATGAAAAATCTCGAGGGTGACTTTTTTTTAGTTTACAAAAAAGTTTTATTTTTTATTCAACGTCGTTTTTTTAATTCATACCAGGCAAAAGTTCATTTCCATTTTTAATGGGACAGACTATAGTACAATGTTTATATTGATACAGATAAAACTACGCTCACTGCTAGGAAAATCCTTAACATAGTCATGTCTTGCAATCATGAAGAACAAGGTTAGTGAACGTGGCAAAATGTGGTTTTCATGTGGACATTGAATTTTCTTAAATCACTTAAAACAAGAACATTTCAGTAAAGAAGAGACAAAACTAGATGTGAGGAAAAAATCCTACAAAACTCTGGAAGTGAGGAAAAAAAATCCTGAAGATATTGAAGATTGAAAAATATGACAAACTATTACAAAGTTAACAAATCCTTACATACATGTATTTATGTATTGTCCAAGATCTGGGTTAAAATCACAGGATAGGTCGAACTCGTTAGGGAACAAAGGGAAAACAACACATGATTTGAATGAAAATCGGGCATTTATTGAAAATGACATAAACTAGCATTATTTATACTAAATACACAAATAGATTTAATAAAAGATTCCCGAAAGGAACTAACTGGGGGGCAAAAACCGCCCTTACTAAGGATCAAGATGTAATAACATATGTATAAATTTAAAATATACACCAACTTAAACAACCAGTAAAGATCTACATTTTCCTGTAGAATGCGAACTAAACATTATATACTAGTAATTGTTCTTTAGTGTACTGCACATTACAATGTTCAGCCCTTTTCACCAACAAAGAGGGTCATTAGGGCCTTCGATCGTTGACCTACGTTACATTTTTTATAGCAAATGTCGCAAGTAACAAGGTCACATTGGGTTGTCATTTTTTACCCAAGCTGCACATTTTCTTAAATGTGTCCGCTAGGAATAACTACATTGAACAATGGTTTATGTCTCTTGTGAAGGACCACACAGCAAAACACCAAAATTCCACACAAAAAGACTTAATGTGTTTTCCTAGATAAGTCTACATAAACCAGGAGACCCCAAGGACAGGGTCAATTTTGACCCCGGTGGAATGACTTGAAATGTATATGCAAAATAGCTTAGTTTTCCACACGAGGATTAAAATGTGTTTTCAGAAGTCTATAAAATCTTAGAGACACAGAAGTGCGGCAGTCATGATTTATAAAATTCATGTCGAGGACCACAAGTCAAGGTTAGGGTTAGGGTATCAAAACACTTGGCATTGCAGTTTCACAAAAGACACAAATTTATTTTCCTAAGCTAACCCCAAGGATTTACATAACTTTTGTTAAGGACCACAAGGTGATGCTACATGCCAAATACCTAAGTGATCCCAGGGGCATGATTTAAGTAATTTTTGTAGAGGACCACAATACGATTCTACAGGCTTAATATCTAAGCTCAGTGTATTGCAATTTTACAAAAGAAATAAGAAATTAAATAAACAGAAATAAAAGAAATTAAATACTAGTAAACAGAATATAAGAAATTTAGTAATAGAGAATAAATCAATTTAAATGCATTTACTTACACGATTATGTCTATAAATCAAGTGACCACAGGGGCGGGTCAAATTTTGACCCTCAGATGCACATGCTTTATTTCCTAGCCAGAGGCGGACTAAATCCTCCCCTAAACACCCATCGAATCTCTACAGTATATTCCAGTAATGGTGCACGCGAACGATTCTGAGAATCGTTATGATTCATATAGCTGTATTGCTTTGAAAATTGTAAATGTATCTCTATATCTATAATTATTGGTTTGTACTAGGTCAGTTGAGGCCTTTACACGTGCAATATATACAGAACAACTTTGTTGACTTTAGTGGGTTGAAAGATACATTTGTATTTAATTGTTTTTACTAAAACAATAAATATATGAGCAACGTCATGACAAAACCAACAAAGTGGGTTAGCTACCAGCATGGATCCAGACCAGCCTGCGCATCCGCGCAGTCTGATCAGGATCCATGCTGTTCCCTCACCAACTCTATTACAAGTGGAGAAACTGATAGCGAACAGCATGGATCCTGATCATGCGCAGTCTGGTCTGGATCCATGCTGGTCGCAAACCCATTATGTTGGTTTTGTCATGACGCGGCTCATATATTATTATTATAGCAGACGGCAGAAACACGTGACTGCATACATGTAAATGCACTGCTACAGGACTGAGAACTAAAATGGAGGAAATACGTCAAAATATCAAGTGTAAAGATTACATTGCAGTTTTATATGGATTTAATTATATAGGTAGAAAAACGGAACCTTTCACACGAGAAAGACTTCGTCTCCTACATCAAAAGATTTACAGATTGTTAGCAGGTCTCCCACGTTGTCATGCGAAGTGCAGCTCTCTTCATAAGTTGAAACTGAACAAGTATGTAAATCTAGTTCTTATTTTGTATAGACACATCATGTGTATTTTTTGCTCATTATCTTCTTCTTAATCTGCCTCTTCTTTTTTATAATGCATTTGTATTTTGCTCGCTCTGGGGCAATGTCGTACATGTATGTTTTTATTATCGCTGAATGTACATAATTACTAATAACTCAATTTACAATTTGCACACTTGGTTCAAGCGAGAGAATTGACTGCAAACTTGACAAAATGGCTACCGAATCATGAAAATTTATATCGCCCTGCACGAATTTTATCCTGGTAATTGGGTTTGTGTGTTATTTTAATTTTATTTAAATATGTCCATTCCTTAAGACAATGTTTATGACACACTCGGTTTTAGGTTTCAGCTTCCTAGCTTCTGATTTGACGAAGTTATTTAAGAGTGCATGTTTTAAGATTTGAAAATTAAATCACTTTTCTGGTCGAGTTTAGAACCATATATTTCTACAATGAGAAAAAAATTAAAATTCGATCCAATTTAGTAAGTAGGGATAAAAGGTGGCTACAATTATGAGGCCTCAAAACTTAAAGGCAGCCCCTCAGCCACATATGGTCAAGGTGGGGTGTCAACTCAAGCATGAAATGGCATACCACTTACTGCATTCAATTTTGCAATTAATTATCCTAGTGCCATTCCTGTTGCTTTTGACAACAACTTAGCAGTCACTTTATAATTTAAAGAATTATTCGATTCAGACCATATTTTATGTATACTTTTTACATTATTCAGAACAGTTTGAACAGTTTATTAGTCCCCTACCGGTTTAACCGGAGGGGACTTTAGGTTTACCCTCCGTCCGTCTGTCTGTCTGTCCGTCTGTCTGTCTGTCAGTCCGTCCGTCCACAAAACTGGATCCCGCGATAACGCAAAAAGTACTGAAAATATTTTTATGAAACTTGATATATGGATAAATGGCAGTATGGAGATTATGCACGCCTTTTTTTCTTTCTATGTTGAAAATTCTGGTTGCTATGGCAACAAATAGTCTGAAAATATGTCAAATTTAACACATAAACTGGATCCAGTGATAACTCAAAAAGTACTGAAAATATTTTTATGAAACTTGTAATATGGGTAGATGGCAGTCTGGAGATTATGCACATCTTTTTCCTTTTCTTCCTATGTTGAAAATTCTGGTTGCTATGGCCTGAATTTCAAGATTTCTGATTTAAATTTTTCAGCTTTTTCACTATAAGTTCTTTATTTCTTAAGGTGTTTACTTCAAACTTTAAATATAAGTTTCTGGTCATCAACCACATTATATGTGACAAGGTTTACAACTCTAGCACAAAAATTATCAGTATTACCTCCCTTGAACTTAGAATTTTTATGAAAAAAATGTCTTTTTTAAATAGCTTCTTTATTTCCTAATGTATCTACTTCAAACTTCATATATATGTTTCTTATTATCACTCAACATTTTTGAGAAGGTTAAATACTCTAGCAAGACTATTAGCAGAATTATGTTCCCCTTGAACTTAGATTTTTTCGAGAAATTGGTATTTTTCAGTCCAACGTCTTCATTTCTTATAGGATTTACTTTAAAATCCCACATCGTAATAATATGACAAGGTTGTATTTAAACATAATTTCCTTACTAGGAAGAGAAACTTAACACATTATACTGTGATATAGACAAACTTAGAACTCAAAAGATTTAAGTTCATTCATGTCATTCATTCACTAGTAAAATTGAATGGCCAATGACCCATCAGAATGTTGCTGGGGTTCTAACCGGTAGGGGACTTATGGATTGCTTGCAATACTATGATAATTGCTTGTTGAAAATGCTGGGTCTCTTAGAGGCATCAGTCACATATACAATAATATAAAATAATATCAGGTCTCGACACTAACCTTTTCAGCAGGTGGTATGCCGGACCACTGGATCCAAAATTCAGGTGGTCCTTTCTGAACACAGGTGGTCCATCTTTTTTTTTACTAATTTGTTTTTAAGGAAACTTCAGATTTAGAAGAACTTCACTTAAAATTGGTAACAGAGACATATTTATAATTAGATCTGTAACAATTGAAGAAAACATGTATTTTTTTTCTAATTTCAATCTTAGATCAGTATGGTGGCATATTTCTGCCACCAGATAACCTGATACCAAACTAGTTAATTAAGAGGTTAACTAGTTACGTAACTAGTTAACCTGATAAATAACTAGTTAATTAAGAGGTTAACTAGTTACGTAACTAGTTAATTTTTTCAATAAAGAAAAGATCATAACGGGAAATAAATGCATGTTAGTGCCTGCAACTGCCATCCCTTATTGTCAGCTTAATATTAAGAGGTTAACTAGTTACGTAACTAGTTAACCTGATAATTAACTAGTTAATTATTAGGTTAACTAGTTAGATATTTTCGTAACTAGTTAACCTGATAATTAACTAGTTAATTAAGAGGTTAACTAGTTACAAAAATACCTAACTAGTTAACCTAATAATTAACTAGTTAATTATCAGGTTAACTAGTTACGTAACTAGTTAACCTCTTAATTAACTAGTTATTTATCAGGTTAACTAGTTAGGTATTTTCGTAACTAGTTAACCTCTTAATTAACTAGTTAATTATCAGGTTAACTAGTTACGAAAATGCCTAACTAGTTAACCTAATAATTAACTTGTTAATTATCAGGTTAACTAGTTACGTAACTAGTTAACCTGTTATCACTTATCTATAAATAGCATTGTTTTGCTCCATTGCATTGATACAAAGTCCCACTTAAGTCATTGCAGACATTAAAAGGGAATACATTTGTGTTTGGAGGCGAAATAGAGGTAAATATTTTTAATTTTAACAAATATATAATGATTCTAATGTTTGATATTGATAAAATACATTTACAATAAATATTATCTATAGTACAGTCACAAGTTTATTTTCACTCATAGGATGCTTTGTGAATACGGTTCCTGGTACAGTATAACTGCGATCCCTCGGGGTCGCAGGAGACCGAGCCTAAACTACGAGGGAACCGATGTTTCGAACGACCCGATTTTCAATTCTCCGGTCTGTTAAGAAATATATTGAAGTATATATAGTATGTTAAAAATATTCCTGACTGTACACCATTTAAAACATATTTACTACATATGTTCATCTGTATAACCGCCTCCGTGGTCGAGGGGTAAGAGTCGATGACTTCTAATTCAGTAACCTCTCTGGCATAGGTTCGAACCCTGAGAGATGTTTTGGTAGTTTAGCGCCGAGGAAGGTAGTCTAGTACTGGTGTAACACTCCAGGAACAATGGTTAGGATATTACCCGCCTAAATGACTGAAATACTGTTGGGAAAATGCGTAAAATGAAACAAACAAACAAACAAACTTGTTCATCTGTATGTCCGCATTCCCCCCTGCCTATCTGTATTTTATTTTTTACTCAGATGCAAGCTGATGCTATTACCAGGGAGGAGAGGGTTGCTTTGTACTATCACAGGGGATTCACAATCAAGGAGATTGTTGGTTTTATGACCTTACAACACGACACTATATTGAGTGAACGAACAGTACATAGGATTTTGAGAAGCCAGGGACTATACAGGCGTCAAAACCAAAGCGGGTTACCAGATGTTGTTGAGGCAATTTTACTGGAACTTTCCGGAACCGGACAGAATGCTGGATATCGTCAAATGAGACAGAGGCTTTTGGTACATCATGGTATAGTCGCAACTTGTGAAACTGTGAGGCTTGCACTTAGTGTAATAGACCCAAGTGGTGTAATGCTTAGACAGTCTAAAACACTCAGACGTCGTGTTTATAGAAATGCTGGCCCTAACTTTGCTATACATTTCGATGGATGGGATAAGTTAAAACCTTACGGCGTGTCAGTGCATGGTGGTATTGACGGGTTTTCCCGACGACTGTTGTGGTTGAAATGTTGTAACTCAAACAAAAAGCCTCAGTATATTGGTCATTTTTATTTGGAGTATGTTGAAGAAATTCAAGGCTTGCCACTGCGCGTGTACGCTGATCGAGGTACAGAAAATGTTATTGTCCGTGATATACAACATGCTTTGCATTTCATGGACCCGCATCAGTATTTGGGATATAGCAATTTTGTGTATGTGTCGTCCACCAGGAATGTAAGGATAGAACGATTTTGGAGGACATTACGGGACATGTGTGGAAACACGTGGATGAATTTTTTTAAGGATATGTGTGACATGGGGATCCTAGATACCACGGATAACCTTCACCTGGAATGTGTTAGATATTGCTATTTTACTCTAATAAGAAAAGATCTCAATGATGTAATGAGTGTGTGGAACTCACATCGGGTTAGGCAATGTCGTTTTGCTGAAAGTCCAGCTGGCAAACCGGACGTTTTGTTTTACCAGCCGGAACTGTACGGTGCTAGTGATTTTTAAAGTTCCATTGGCAAATGGTTTGCAAGAAGTCAGAGAAAGGTTTTGTGAGAATCCATCCCAGAATGGTGCATCAGAAGAATTTTTAATTTTAGCCAGGAACGTATTGACAGAGTTCGATATGGAGTACCCTGCTAGAAACAGACTTGAAGCCACGGAAATGTTCATTGCAATAACTGCTTATGCTGACTGCTTGTAAAAATGAAAAAGTTTGTAAAGTAGAAAAAGTACTGTATACTGTTGATCTGGAACGATTCTCTATATAATTAAAGAGTTGTCTGTGTGTGTTGTTTGTCATTTAACAGTGTGTACATAGGAAGAATTAAAAGAAATAGTAGATCCAATCCAATTTCCAACTAGCTCGACGATGTGTACGCTGTTCATTGGTGATCACGGATGAACAGCGTACACAATCATGCCAAGAAATACCAGCCAATTTTTCCACTACACATTAACCCCTAATTGACCGAAAAGCTAAGGTCAATTTCTCATGTTATCATGTCTTGGGAATTGCTGCATTTTGGTTTTGAAGAATGTATTAAATTTTGCCAATAAAAACTTGAGGAAGTATTAAAGGGACTGTGCCAAAGATTGGCACCAAACAAAGTTTTTTTCTGTAACGAATCTCAGGACAATTATCCAATAGAATGGTTAGTTACGCTTTGATATCATAAATGTAATGAAAAATTATGTGTCGGATACCGGGTTCGAACCCGCATCGCCAAAAATTGTAGGGGCCAGCGTCTCACTCACTGCACTACAATTAAAGGCATATCCTAATTAGGTGAGATAAATAAGCTATACACATACCTCGGTAATATCACGTGATAATACCGACTAGCCAATCACGCATAGGGAATGAATTCTACCTGGGCCTTTTAATGGAAAAAAATACGATAAAATAAGTGTAATACATAATACTTCAATTGTGTTTACTTCATAATGAACACACCATATTCTTGAGCATTGTGAATTAATTTTCGTATAATAGATGCATCTGGCATTGTACGTCTTAATACCGTAATCGGTGAAAGAACATACCCCCCCCCCCCCACCACACGTCCCGATCGTGTCTGTAAAAAAGTATATAACCCCCGAACAAAAAGAGACTATGTACTATTGAAGTTCAAATAAATATGTGAGGTGAGCATGTTTAGTCATTTAATGCGCGCACTTCAAGTCTGAGTAATACAGCTGGTAGTGCTGCATTTGTTGCTGTCACACACCACTACTGTTTCTGCTGTAAACACTGTCACTACCACCGACGCCAACACCACCACCACCGGTATTGTGATGAACCACTGACGCTGCTGTGGATATTGTTGTTGTTGCCACTTCTGCAGTTTCAGCTATTACACCAACTACTTTCTATCCAAAAACCACTTGTACTGCTGTTGATCTCGCGATAATCCACTATATATAGATGTGGATAAAGGGGCTACGTTTTAGTATCAATGCGAAGACCCTTCATGTATTTATTTATAATGATGAGGCACGAAGTAAAACAACCTTTATTTCCTCAGATTTTTGACAATTCCCAAAATAAAGACTCTCCGTTATCATTTTATTTCGTGCACATGAGTCACAATATTAGTTTAAACATTTAATTTTACAACGATTGAGATAAAAAAAAACACATATTAATTACTGTTGTTGGCACAATATTAGGCGAAAGTATGATCTTGTTTGGTGGTGGAAGTCGGAAAACGCAGTGATAAACCAAATGTCCGGCCCCATCCCAAACTCACATGCGCCCACGCCAGGATTCGAACATGAGAAGCGAGCGCGCTTACCAGTGCGCTTACCAGACAACCTACCCGGAAGTGATAAAGTGTGATCCGTGGGCAATTTTTTTCTAAAGAATATTGACTTGGTCGTAATTTTATTTGGGTTAAAATAAATCCTTACGCAAGCCAAACCCCGATAGCATCTTAAACAACTTTGTCGAATCTAAGCTAAAGGCGCTATTTTATTACATTTAGATGTCGCGGAGTTAATAAATATAGTAAGTTACATTTGTACTTGATGTTTTCAATCTTAAATGTAATGTTGTCAAAAACTTTTTAATTTAAAAAAAATACATCAAAGATTTAATACTCAATTAATTTTAAAACTTTAAATAACATGGCACCGACTTATATGACAGAACTGATGACTTTATCCGACAACAAAATATAACTTAAGATCTAGGTCACGAAAACATATTGTATTATGGACAAGTTAATATTTATTGTAAACACGCAGAAGAAAAAAGATTTACATTACATTTTGTGCGAGACCTTGAAATGTGTATGTAGATATTTAAGCGGACACATTCAGCTTATCATATAATTGTCTACGTTAGACAAAAATGAAGTGTGTAAAAACATTGCGTGAAACATTAACTGCTGTCATCAATATACCAGCTGACCACTTTATTTTTAAAAATTCACCCGTGATAATAGTCGCCGCTGTGTTCGTCCGGACAATAAATTTAAAACCAGGAGATCTGACGCTTTGTGACCGAACAATAACTTAAAAACTAAGAGGCTTTCATATTTGATCCCGTGACCCCACATGATCCAGTATCGAACTCGTCCGAGATTACTGTGTAGTTTGTGAATATCAATCTGAAGTTCTGAAAACCAGATCTAAAATGTGGCCTAAAGAGCGGATACATGCTGACTGTGGACTGAAACCCCACGACGTACAAAATTGCGATCTAAAAATTACCCTGACCCTCAGCTTGTCCGACCCATTATTTCGACACCACCTATTCTGAAATGGCTTTTGGCATGATGAGATGGTGTGTCGAACACATTTGTGCTATAAAATTTTGATTCTATCATGATTGCAGTTTGAAATAACTTGGCACAAATGTTTGTCATATTGAGACGGTGTGTCGCGCACAAGTTTGGTGTTCTCAGAATTGAGAAAGCATAAATAGCCAGAATTTGGCTTGCCTGTGCCATGACATCTACGCTCTAAACTTCATGACATCTTCACTCATAATCAGTCGGGTATAGTATAGTTCCTCGTCGGGAAGCAAAAAGGTTACCATTCAGTGCTACTTTTAAGCCAAACCCATTTCTTCTGACCCGTGTCAAAAACTTTCTACATGGAAGCACTGAAGTACGGAATCGTAGTTTATCATTAAGATCCAAAAGGCAACAGTGCGAGAACGCAATTGATACGATGGCGACAGCACGATTGCGATAATGTGAGAACGCGATGGCACAATTGCGACAGTGGCAATAATAAGTCTACAATGCGAGAACGCGATAGTAGATAGCGATATTTACTATG